AACTGGGGATCAGCATTGCTCTTTGTTGCTGACAGGTTGGACATTTAGAAATAGCACTAGCAAGGTCAACTTTAGGTGACAGAGGGGTCCATGCTTATAGGCCAATAAATAGCCTCCATTTCTGCCACTGGGGTGATGTATGAGCACAACGTGCAAGAACTGGGACAGGTAAGGTGGTCCTGAAATCATCCTGTTCATTTGGTTCTTTAGCACTTTTCTGGTGAATACTTTAATAGGTCCCTCTCTCATAGATCACCCCAAATTCTCCACACCAGACCTCCCCCCAACCCCATTTTCCTGTTTTGCTCCCTAACAACTAGCCCACTGACTGTGTGTTCAGGTATATCCTTGGCTCAGGCCACTTCTCTCTCCAAAGTGGATTATCAGGTACACTGCCTAAAGTCATGCTCACTGAATTTCCCCTCATTATATGTATCTTTCTGGATTTCTCTGGATTGGGCTGTTGTAGTCATATTTGGCTTGCCCTAACATATCAAGCCAACCCATCCACGAACCAGACCTGGATTTTTTCCTCCTCGGTCAAATGGTTGAAGGAATTCATACGTTGCCATAGGTATGATCTAAGACAGGGGCTGGCGAACTGTGGCTCGTGAGCCACATGTGGCTCTTTGGGCACGTTCCATCTCAGGTTTGCCAACCCCGGAAGAGCCAATCCTGTCCCTCACAACAATTTAAAAATTATTCAAGAGCCATAAATATATTTTTACATAATCACGATTATGTGAATATCCTTTAAAAATGTTATAAATGAAACTATGATAGTTTTATTTTTGAAAATTTTCAATTTTACTTCAGAGCCACATGTACATACCCAAAGAGCCGCAGTTTGTTGACCCCTGGCAGCTCTTCCTTCTCAAAAGTTTGCCAACCCCTGATCTACGAGAAAGGTATTAGTGCAACAGATGTAGGTAATATGGAGTCCTGGGGCCCCTTGTTCAATTTAACTTTCTTGTGCCTGGCAAGTTTGCTTGGGCTTCTTCCCGAATGAACAATTTCCATTGTAAGATGGATGGCTATTGTATCCACCCAATCTTATGGGTTGGCAGGTCTGACAAGAATCAGCTGGTGACATTCATAGCTGGTCACATAGTCACTTGATATTTTGTGGTCAGGAATTGAGTCTTTATCAGGACCTAATAGTATGCCAGATGTTTTTCAAATGGTGAAACTTTCTCTACTGCAGATGACATCACCTTACTCCATAAACCTAGAGGTCTGTACTGGAACTCTACTACTGTGGATTGCCAGAGAATCCACAGAGCATCTTTTCATTCTACACATAATTCTAGTATCATGGAATTTACCAGGTCATATGGCCCAAGCAGCAGGGCTGCTTGTATCACAGCCTGGACCTGCTGCAGAGGCCTTTCTTGCATTCCCATATACAGAATATGCGGCCTCCAAAACTGGAAAAGGCCTAATAAGGCACTGTGCTTCTTTCTTGAGGTAAAAGACACAAGATGCAATAACGCATCTTTTACTTTTGAGAGGATGTCTCAGAATGCTCCAGATCACTGGACTCCTAAAAACTTAACCAATATGGCAGGGCCCTGCATTTTTGCAGAATTTATCTCCCACCTTCTGGAGAGTGTGTTTCACCAAGGAATCCAGAGTACAGCAGGTCTTTGAATAACATTTCATTGTAATTTTGATGAGATGCCAAAGAAGCTTAACTTCTGTTTGCATCCACTAGCTTATGGTAAAATTGGTTTCATTCTTCATCATTTTGCTTGAAGTCGCAAATCTACCAACATCATTAAATGAGGACTTACTGTATTCACTAGATCAGGGGTCAGCTAACTTTCTGTAAAGGACCAGATAGTACATATTAATAGTCACATACCTATACCAGAGGCTAAGTTACTCTGTCCAGTAAAGAAAACACATCCAGCACAGGAATGCAGTTGGACTATCACTTAATTTTGCAGTAGTCCACTGTAGTCCACCGTAGACCATCCAGTTTTTGCAAGGCCCACACAGGTGAAAATAAATAAATAAGGATATGATGGAGACCAAAGAAGACCCCTGCATCCTTTCAAGTTTATAAGGCTGGAACTAATTTGTAATCTTCCCTAGAATGCATTATTTTTTTACTATTTTGGCAGAGGTGGGGATGTAGTTTCAGGGGTTTCTACTTGGCCTTTCTCCCAACTGCCAAATACGTCCATTCTGATTATACTTAGAAACTGGAAAAATGACCATCAAGTGGGTCTTTGCACCCACGGTGAGGCAGATTTGGGCAAGCACTCCATTTATTACCTGACCCAGTATTTCACTACTGTAATGGGGATGCGCTGTGGTGGTGCTTTGAGTTCTTGGGTATCAGTATCAATTCAGATCCCTGTATCCCTGTTTACTAACTCATAAAAGCTGGGTATTCTTTCCCTAGTGTGTGGCTAACTAAGTAAATAGCTGTTTCAATTGATAGGCTGAATCTGAGAACTGTCTGAGGCCTAGAAACTGGGCAAGAAATTGTGTCTTTTCACTGAAGTTACTGACCTTAGTGTTCTAGTCAACGATTCTTGGTCTCTCAATTATGTTCAAATCAATACCCTCTCAATTATGTACAAATCAATACCCTCCTTGGCTGCCCAACTATCTGGTCCATAGGACCACCCATGTTCCATTAGCCATCTCCGCTTGGACCACGCTGCCCTTATGAAAATTCACCATCTTGCTTCTGAGAGTTAAGTGTTGCCATTTGGCCTCTAAGCTTTTTGATCATTTCTCGTATCAGTTACCGTGGGCCATGATTTTTCCCAAGCTCCCCAAAGCCATCTCCAAATCATATTATAAGCACCTCATAGGGACCTTGCCAAGATGTTCCCGAGTCACAGGGAAGTGACTATTATCCCTATTATCACAAATTCTGTATCGATTTTTTTTCTTTTTTTTAAATTGGGGAATTGGGGGAGGAGGACAGTGTTGGGGAATTGGAAAGGGGGACCAGCCAGGTTGTTGCTCTTCAATCTTAGTTGTGGAAGGTGCCAGTCGCCATCTGGTTGCCCGTTGGCAGCTCGTGGCCTCTAAGCTCAAGGTGCTGTGTTACAATCTTAGTTGCAGGTGGGCGTAGCTGCCATCCCATGTGGGAGTTGAACAAAGCCTTGGTATTAAGAGTGCATGCTCAATCCACTGAGCTATCCGGGCGGCAGCTCAGCTCAAGGTGTCAAGTTCAGTCTTAGTTGCGGGTGGGCATAGCCCACCATCAAACAGGCAGTCTTGTTGTTAGGAGCAAGTGCTCTCACCAGCTGAGCCATCCCTGTTGGCAGCTCAGCTTGGGCGCAGTGTCCCTGGCCCATGTGGGAATTGAACTGGTGGCCCTGTTGCTCAGAGCTCGCACTCTTAAGCCAACTTTTAATCTACTAAGCCAGCCGGCTGGCCCTGAATTTGATTCTTAATTCATGAAACCATATAAACAACTACAAATTTGTTTTCTAACATAAAGAATTTTGGGAAAACGAAGCATCTCCTTTAAAGTTTGAGATCAGCGTAAACGCTTCACATATACCTTAAACTTAAGTTTTGTAATGGTTATTTCTAAGCAGCCGAAAAAGCTAGAAAAATACTAGAGATGTCTTTACAGTGACACATTCTTGCTGAAGAAAAAAAGCTCAGTAGAGACTAGCCTCACCTAGGAGAGACCTATAAAGAAATGAATGTTTGGCTGATGGAACCACAGAGAGACTGAGGAGGGCCCCAGAGCAGAGCTACTCAAAGGTGGTTTGAAGACTTGTACTAGTCTGTGAACAGTTTTTTTTGTTTGTTTGTTTTTACCAGTCTGCTATATGATGAATTAGAAACAGAGTTTAGAAACTTTCTAGCATTTTGACATCGCTGTGATATCCAAGTGCATGATCAATGGACTTATTTTGATGAATGGAGTCTGGTCAGTTTGGGTATTGTCAACTTGTGGGGTGGGGAGCATACACTGTGAACTGCACACTTGTCACGGGCAACAGGAACACATATTGGTGCACAAAGAACTGCATATTTACGAGACCAAACCCTGGCCCTTTACCACAGGCAGTTTGAGAAGCATGGCTCCATCCTTCCACAAGTCCTAGAATAATTCAAATAGTCTTTGGAACGGAGTAACCCGAGGTCAATCTGTTCATGTTCAATCAAAATAAAGTGAAAATAAATGGCTTGAGAACAAAACGAAAGTGGACTAGGGCATCTATTTAGATTCTTGGAGTAAGCCCTGGCCAACCCAGCAAAACTGAGACTTTGTAAATGAAAACTGGCAGGACAGCAGGCGGACAGTTGAAGGGGCAGGATTTGTTCTTCCCTCCTGCCTCTTTATCCTCATCCAGCTTTTGGCAGGAGCTATAAGGAGAGAATTTCGGCCATTCATGCCCGAAATCACCACCACAAGTCTGCCTATACTTTCCCTATCTCCTGCAGAGTAAAGGAGTCTCCGGTTCAGACCTGGCTCTTTCATACTGAGGAGGAACAGTAGCCAGATCTTCCCCCAAAGCCTGAGGTCTCAAGAACATTTTCTTCCTTGCCAATACCATAGAACATGTGAGGTCTTAAGGGGTGCAAAGCCTTATCCCAGGGGAAAGTGACATGTCAGGAGCTCAAAGTGATTCAGGTGATGAATGTGAATTTGCTCTGATAGTTATTTTCTGAGTGCTGAACCAGGACAGCTAGCTGGTCTGACCAGGATCCCCATCAACACACGGCAGCCAAGGTCCATAGATCCACTGGCTTCCACAGGTCAGCTCAAAGAAAAATCATTCAGAAAACATGTTAACATATTACTAACATTAATAAAAATTATGTGAAATGTTAAAATCAACAGAAATTAATGGGCTTCACAGGTTAAAATACTCAGAGGAAATGAGGACAGAAGGCCGTTGAGTGTCCTTTGCCAAATGAGGTACAGACTGAGCTGGGGAAGCGAGATGGTGGTGGAAGCCAGTGCTGCAATGTTATGTAGAACTAGTCCGCTAACATTACTCACACGGCAGCTTACAGAAACTGAGGAAGATGAGCAAGAGACCTGGATGAAAAACAGGCCACACTCCTCACTCGGAATATTTATTAGTCAGGAAAAAGAACCCAGGCTGCACCCCACCCCCTTTCCCAAACTATCTCCCTGAATCAGGGGACAGGATTTAAAGGAGAGATGTCTCAAATAGGCCAGAATGAAGACTGGTCATTCGTTTTCTTGACTTGACACTATAATTGTATGTGTTTACCAGGGAGCGAGCCAGTGAGAGTAGTGGATGGACTAGATGAGGGGGAAACAGGATGGGCCCTGCTTTGTCACAGTTTGGGTTTGGAGACGGGCTAGAATAAACAGGTATTTTTAAAAGAAGGGAGATAAGAGAGGTAAAGGGCAAAGGAATCCAGGGCTGGGTTCACCCGGATTACATAGCGTGGTGGGAAGAACCAGGGCAGTGACTTGAGTTCTCAGGCTGCACAGGGAGCTGAGGACTCAGCACCTGGAGAGAAGGGAATCCCAGGGCTTCTCTTTCAATCCTACTGTGTTTAGATGCAAACACCCTACTATTTAAACTTGCCTATAGCAAAACAGTGAGGCAGGGACAAATTTGAAGTGATACCCTACTTCCTTTCCTTTCAGAGAATTCAGAAAGGTCTGTCTGAAGGTAAGTGGGCATAGTGACAGACCTATAACTCCAGTCTAGGCCGTTTCTCCCCATTCATTCCCGAAGACCCTGCACAAAAGAACTTTAGAAATACAGAGTCCCAGGACTCTGTCTCTGCTCCCCAGGTCCAAAAGAAGGGAGCAGAGACAAGGCACAAAGGCCCTGGGTACAAAGGCCCTGGGTACACCAGTGTGGCCAGAGAGAACATTACTTTGGGAGACAGAAGAAGATGCATGCCCCAAAAGAGATGCCTTCCTCCACCTGATAGGTACTCAGGCCTTTGCTAGCAGCAGAAACCATTACTGAAAGGGCTCACAGAAATGGCCCGCAGAACAGGTCTTATTCCTAGAAAGACAGAGAAAAAGCCTCAGGTGGTATGGCACAATCTTGATGACAGAGGGCAGTGGGCTGATCACTCCTGTAGACGGCACTCCTGCCTCAGTTCCCAGTGGTTCTGCTGACTCCAGATGTTCCCAGATGGCTGGGAATCAGGGAGGAAACGTGTTGTGTTTCACATGATCAGACACTGTTCGCCATTGGCACCTGGTGGACCCGACAGATTAAGGGCATCCAAATCAAAGTTGAGGCCAGGAGGCTGGAGAAGAGATGAAGGGACTCAGGTTGAAGCACCTAAAGGTCCATCCCCAGGAGCCACAATTAGCACCTGAGGTGGGATCACTAAAGGTTAAAGAACTCTGAAAACTTGGACACAGATTAAAATCTAGAAGATATACTCACCATCTCCCCAGCCAGCTCTTTTGGAGGATGGCCCAAATCCTGTAGCTGGAAAATAAGGGAACAGAAACATGAGACAGAGAAAATCCCAAAAGACAATAAAGCAGCACAAAAAAAGGAATCTGAGCCATGGAGGCTCTGCTTTCTCCCGAGGACTGTGCTATGTGGCCTCTGTGGTGCTCCCTCCGTCACCTGGGTTTAGCAGTGTGGCCTCCTTTCCAGATGCCCCCTCTGCCAAACACCCAAGCAGACAGCACCAGCAGGCAGAACACAGAAGGAGGCCTTACCTGCTGCATAAGATCCAGCACTGTCTCAAAACGAGCCTTCTGAGTGGCCTCACTGTCTGCGGGGGTCTCTGCTTCAAACTGCTCACATATCTTGCCCATGACACTGTGTTGTTCCTGATATTTTTCAAACTGCTCTGGAGGTAGAGATTCCCGGTGACTCTGTAACCATTCTGGATACTAAGGAAAGAGAAAATGGGTGGGGAAGAACTAAGTGAACAGTGGATAAGGAATGACAATAAAATATGAAGGACAATAAAGTATGAAGGGGAAGGATGTACAGAAGGAAAATGCTAAATAAGCTAGTTCAGCATGGGAAGTAGCACTGACTGCAACCAGATCACCTGGCTATGCTAGCATTTATGGTCACCAGAAGATGTCAAACTTCTTCGGTGAAGGGCCAGATAGTAAGTATTTTAGACTTTAAGAGCTACATATGGACTCTGTAACATTCTGTTGTGTTTGCTTGTTTTGATTTTATAACCTTTAAAAATTTAAAAACTTTTCTTAGCTTAAGGGTTGGATTTGGTATACCCAGACCCTGGTCTACTGACTCCTGGTCTACACTATTCATTTCACATTTAATCACATGTTGCTCTATGTCACTGAAAAGCTTCTATTCCTATATTTTATCTCTTTAGTAAAACTATTATATAAGCTCTTTGACAGCAGGAAGCTTCATTTAAATTACTCAGTGAAACCTTAGAGAAATTAACAAAGTTAGAAATGCAAGAAGGGGTTGATCAGATAATGAAACAGTATGAAAACAGTTTATAGAAAACTAGAGCTGAAGGATTTCTCCTTCTACCTTATATTTCCTCAGTGTGGTAGCTTTATTCTCTTATAGACACAACTCTTTTCCAATTCTCTCCACTCCAAATAAATAAACAAAAAGAGAAAAACAGATGGACTTGGGTACTCTATCTCTGCAGGCTCTAAGCAGACAAATTAGCCCACAGGAAAGCAAGGAAGGAAAGCAGAAACAAAAGTTCACACACCTTTTCTGTGATCTCCCTCAGTGATGGGTACAGCACATCCTTGGACAGTAGGTTCTGCATGATACTTTGCATGATGGGGAGGATGTTCCCTTCCCCATCCCCTTCATCCATGCCCAGCCCTTCCATGGCCTTGGTCAACTCCTCTTCTGACATGCCTGAGTTCTAAAAAGGACGAGAGAGAGGTGAGCAAGTACATTGCCTTCTTGGGATGCCTACTACCCTTTCAGGTGGGAAAGAACTATTTAAACTTGCCTGTAGCAAAAGAGTGAGGCAGAGACAGACTTGAGATGATACCCAAGAGACTCTGTCTTTGAGAATGTGCTGGTGAAGTGTCTGGGAGTGGGCCCCTTGTGGTCCCATACTTGCCCCCTCCCCCCGATCCTCACCTGCAGATCAGTGGCATTTTTGGCTAGTCCACTTAGTGTCTCCTTTAGGCAAGAAGTGAATTCTTGTTGGGAAGTTGCATCACTGCCTAAGACAGATCAAAAAAGTCAAGGTCATTTAGGATTTTAACTTACCTAGGCTGACCTGGTTACCAGCTTGGATGTGGAGCATTTACTAGTGAGTCACAGCACTCCAAATCTTTGAATGCATTATGGTTATCTTTATAATCATTTGCACAAATCTACATGGACTGTGTCAGTTTGTTCTCCATGACGACATATTCTATAACACTGCTACCATTTAAATGATCAGGTTTCAATAATTATTACTTTACTTCAATAATTATTACTTCGCTTCAATAATTATTACTTCCTATTACTTTCCCCTTATCTCACCCCTTTCATTAAGCAGGTTCCCATCCTTCCTCCCATCTCCTTGCCCCACCCCATGGCAGTGGTATCACGACTGCCATCAACTTCACTAAGAATTCTGGGGTTCTCAAGCAATGATGATTTAAGAAGAGGTTTGTTCAGATATTTCCAGTTGTCGGGCACCCCCCTCACCCACTCTCCCAGCAGCCTCTGAGAGCTTTTGGAACTGCTCCACCAGGTGGGGCTCTTCCTCAGCCAGCTCCTTCATTGCCTTCTCGAACTCTGCCGTGGCTTGGGAAGCCAGCTCGCTGTCGAACAGCTCCTGGAAAAACTTCTCTTGGGAGGCGAAGAGGGCATCCTGCAGGGAGGAGTGGCTAAAATGCATCTCTTACTTGGCACGGCACTGCCCCTCGTCTCTGACAGAAGCCACAGGCAGAGGCTCTGAGAAATGCGGTGTCTCCCTCCTACCCACCTTCACTGGACATTCTAACTGCCTCTCTTAATGAGGACAGCAAGAAGGTATCTGTCAGTATACAGTGGCATTCCCAAACTAACCAGTTAAATCTCCTTTCTCAAGGAACTTCCTTGAGCTCCCTCGCCTCCACTTCAAGTCCCTGTTTCACAAGGACTGAGGCCTGCAAGAGCACTCAGCAATGTGAGGCAAGGCACCCTCCCCTCACTCCCCTCTGGCCCACTGGGGCCTGCCCCACCTCTGCTCAGAGCTGCATGCCATCCCCTCCCCTCCCTTAAGTGGGTGGAATTGATACTTTGGCAGTGTCTCCTGGCGATCTCTTCTGGGGCCCCGAAGCATCAGGGGCTGCGGTGGTAGGAGGGGGTGCTGGGGAGGGTTTGGCCTTATCGAAATCACCAAGAGCACCTTCAGAGACAAGAGACATGGTATGTGTGTTGGGGACAGATGACGATGGACGGCTGAGGGGTTTCTGGGCAAGGCATTGAGAGAACCATTTTTCACACTGCCCACTTTCCGGACATTTTTATTTTTCTGGGTGTCCCTCTCCTGGCCCACCCCTCAGTAAGCCTCCCACTCCCCCCATTACCTAGTTTATTATGATCAAAGGGGAAGAAACATCTTAAAGTGGAACAGGCATCTCTCTCAGAGCTGGGAGGAGAGGGCTAAAAGAAGTTCTGCAGACATCTCCACCTACACAGTGCATTCCCTGCCGCACGTGAATGATTCCCTAGGAATCCCATACAAATATCCAACAGGAGCAGAGAACACAAATGTCCTTAGTACCCTGAACTCACTGTGGATGCCTGAAGGGAAATCATTGGCAAGAAAGCAGAAGCCACGGATGTCCCACCCAGCCTCCCATGGATCTTGATACAACTACAAACTGAGGCACGACTCCACACTGCACTTCAGAGAAGGGCATGCAGCTCTCTTTTCTTATCCTTCAAGGTAGCCCGCCCTGTGCACTGCTCCTCGAGTTAGTTCCCTCTGGCCCCGTCTCTGCAGATAACTGTGAGCCAATTCACACAGAATCACTTGGCACTATTCACCGTTTCTGTTGTACTTCCACCTGCCCACGTCTCTGTGACTGGGCAAGAGACAAAAAGCATTCACCTCTGCCCTGAAAGGCCTGTGTCCTCGCTACCATTCTGCTTGCCAAGCCTGGGGGAAGGGCACTGGGCCCACTCTGGGCAAGAAACCAAGAGGAGTGGAGGGCAGGGCTCAGGAAGAAAAGAACATACACCCTCTTTCAGCAGGGTGAACTGTCTTCCCTTGAGACCTTCTCATCCTCTATTTGTCAAAATAATGGGAAGGAGTCGGCTTCAGCTCTGACCTGATGAAGGATCTGGGAAGGGGTCTTGCTGAGAGAAAGGCGAAAGCACTGCGGGGAAGGAAAGGGTCTTTCGTGTTAAGGATAGGGCAGTGCACAGAAGGGCGAGCTACGGGCTTGTTAAGAGGCAATGGAAGCAATCTGCGAGTGTCTGGTTCGCTGCCCACCGAGGAACGAATGAAGTTCGACTTCAAGAACTTAACTAAAGTAAGGGGAGAGGGCTCTGGAGCCGGATCGTGAAACGCAGTCCCCTGGGTTACTGTTTCCCCTCCGGCAGAGAGATCAACGGTTTGGGCTCTCAGAGGCCCAACGAGAACTCCCCAGCTCCCGCCGCGGAGGAAGAAGAGGGGGACCCAGAAATCTTCGGTATTGCAGTCAGACCCTCCGCCCCCGTCCAACCTTTGGACAGCCTTCCCCGCTCCGCCCCAAATATCTCAGATTCACTTAACCCCCTGAATGGGTCCTCCCACCCGCCCTCCTCGGGCCTTTCCATTACGGGCTCTTACTTTCCAGAAGCTCCTCCAATTCCCTATCCGCTCCGGCCCCGACCCCACAGTCCTCCTCCGCGGCCGCCATCTTGCTACCTCCGACTCGCCGTAGGAGGCGGGACTCCGCAGAGTCCCGCGCCCCACCCATTCCGTCTCTGCGACCAATGCTAATTTGGGGCGGTACGGAGCCGCCATTTTTAAAGGGACAGGCAGCTTTTTATTTGGGGTTTTTGGGTGTGTGTTTTTTTTTTCCCCTTTCGCCAGGAATCATTTAACAGGGAAACGTACTGTTATCGTTTGATAGGTTTCTTACTGGCCTGGCCTCCTTTCATTCAGTTTCCCGGATTATCCAGAGAAGTCGCTCTTCCATTATTTCTTTCAACACTTGACTCTTCTGACATACTTATATTTTACTTATTTATATTGCTTATTGCCCCCCCCCCCCCCCCCGAATTTCAGCACCATGATGGCAAGGATTTTCATCCTGTGGCTTCGCTGCTGTATTCTCAGCCCCTAGGCTAGGGCCTAAAACTCAGTAGGCACTCATTGGCCATTCTTTGTTGCCCCAGACCCTTATGAAGCACATTTCTCCGCGGGACCTAATGGACATCGCTCGTTTCCTAGTCTCCGTTTGAACTGTTAGATTAAAGGACACAGGGCCAGGAAGTTAGTTAGGCCTGGTTGAATCAATTCAGGCAGGAAATGAGGCTCTGGGACCTGAGACTGAGCAAGAGGGCAATTTGAATGGAGTAGTAATAGACCTGCCTTCCCTGATCCATCTCCTTTTCTCTGTACAGAGCCCAACCTCCCATGGAGTGAAGTTGGGGAGGCTCACATAGAGACAACTCTAGACATCCCTTTCTTCCTTTGGGATTGTTCTCCTATTCAGATCTGTCATAATACATAAACTGTTTCAGACACAAATCTATTTTAGCACTTAGAGGGCATCTACTGTTGTTTAAGACCTGGTGCTGCACACAGTGGAGGATAGAGATAAATCAGGACCAGCCCTTGCTGACAAAATTAGGCTGGAGGTAGGGCTGCACATACACACAGTAAGAATGGCACAAGGTAAGTGTCTTAAAAGAGCTAAGGGTAAAGTGCTATAAAGTTTAAAAGGGAGACATCACATCAAAATGAAAAAAGTCACTTCATGGCTTTCATCCTTAGCTTTCCAAATACACACCTGAATACTGTGTCAAGCACAAGATTAGGTACTTTCTCTTTCCTTTACAGATAGGGCACCGACTTGTAAAATCATACCCGTGCAAAAAATACTGTATTCTTCTAAGCACAAGTAGTATGACTTGGGAGAACACATTTTTGAACTGGGAGTCCCAACTCTGTCAATAAATTACTTTGTTCAAAACCCTTCACCACTCTAGGCCTCAGATTACAAATATGTAACAATCAAGTTGGGACTCCAAGGTCCTTTTCAATACTAAACTTCTATAATCTAATCCGCTGATTAACCTTCCTCCCCATCACTTGTAACAATTTATTACAGGCTAACTTTCTCATTCAACTCCAAACTGCTTACATGTGTATCCCTGATATAACTGTAGTTATATCAAGCGCATGTTTAAAAATAAGGCATTTCTACTGGCTTTTCATTAACGTGGTTATATAACCATGTTAAAGAAAATAGACGGTAATTGAGAAGATGGAGTTGAAAACAAGTATGGGTCTTTTCCATTATTATTTTTTTAATAATGTTTTGTGAAGTGAAAATTACATAAAGTTCAAATGTCAGTGTCCATCAATAGTTTATTTATTTATTTATTGAGGAACAGCCATGGTCATTGGTTACATATTGCTTTCATGCTACAGTGGCATAGTGGACTCTTTTAGGAAGAGCGCAGCTCACAGTGGCCCATGCGGGTATCGAACCAGCAACCTTGGTGTCATCAGCACCACGCTCTAACCAACTGAGTTAACCGGTCACCACTCCTTTTGCATTATTTCTTAAACTTGCTTCTGCTTTTAGGCCGGCCGAGTGGCTCACTGGTTAAGAGTTGGCTTGGGAGTGCAAGCTCTGAGCAGCAGTGTCACCAGTTCAGATCCCACATGGGCCAGTGATGCTGCACTCTCTACAGCTAAAATGGTGAACAACAGCTCGACCTGGAGCTGGGCTGCTGTGAATCGCCTGCGATTGCGTAGACTGCAGAGGGCTGCCGTAAACTACCGTGAGTAGCCGGCAGCCAGCGTGAGTTGCTGGCAGCCAGCAAGAGCTGCCGTGAGCCGCTATCCAATAGCCGGCAACTGATCTGCCTCAGCCGGGAAGATCACAATACCAACATGGTCCAGTGAAGCAACATCCTCAACTAGACTGAAAAGCAAAAGGACAGCAACTTGTCTGTTCCCCTCCCCCATTTTCCCAATAAAATCTTTAAACAAAAAACAAAGTAAAACTTGCTTCTGCTTTTGTTTTTACTATTGATACTCCTAACACTTCATTTCAGGATTGACTCACCTCATGCCTTTCTAATGTATAGCGAATACTGTTGCAAAACAGTAATTTACAGCATTTAAAAAATATCACTCTCTCACTAAAGACATAATGGCTTTCCACTGTTTATTGACCGACTTCAAATTCTTGCCTGGTATTCACAATTATTTCACATATATCCATTTCATTTCCCCAATTCCATAAGCTTCAAGAGGCATAGACTGCACACTTTTTTCATATCCTTGAGTTCAGAATGTTTATATTTGTATGCAAAGTTAATTTTGTAATTTAATTTTTAAACTTACAAAATTTTCTTTTGCCAAAATTTATCACCAATTTGCCTGTTTACAGAAAGAATGCTTATAACTTGAGAAAATGTTATCAAAGTAGTATGCAAGTTTTTGAGAAGACAGGCTCAGTTTAAGGATACTATGTTTAGAAAGCAACTCTTAAAGCAAACTCTTAAAAAAAAGCAAAAATTAATAAAGGCCTGCACTCTTTGACGCAGGAATTCCATTTCTAGTTTATCTCCCACCTGTATAATGTATGTTCAAGTTATTCATTACAGCATTGTTGTAATAGCCAAAGAAAGACTGGAAATAATCCAAATATCCATCAAGAAGGCAACTTACATAAATTATAGTAAATAATACATGGTACACTATGTATAGAAGTAAAAAAAAGTGACACTTTCTAATACACTGATATAAAAAAAATCTCTAAAATATGTTAACTGAAAACAATGCAAAATCATTAAATAGCATGCTTCTACTTATGCATGACGGGGATAGGAAGAAACATATTCACATCTGCTTGTATATACATAAAAATCTCTGGAAGGATAAGGAAGCTAACAACATTGGTTACTTGTTTTGGAGAAGGTGACAGGAATTATGTGGCTGAGGAAAGGGATGGGAGGAAGACGTCACAGAATAGCTTTTTATATTTACTGATTTTTGAATTATATGAGTATACTATTTATTGAAAACATGAATTTAAAATGAAAAAGCATGTATTTTAATCATAGGCACAGCATGTCACTCTAGACTTAGCACATGACAAGCAAAATACTGTATTGTTAATATAATCATTGTAGTAAATACAACGTATTTATTACTAATTAATCTGACATAAAACATCTACAACAGTTAAGGGTGCTCAATAAATATTGGTTATAATTAACAATAGGGGGAAAGATGCAGTCAGTAATGAAATAGGGGAGCTACTTGCTTTCTACCATTCTCATAGCAGCTTAATATATCCTATGGAAAAAAAAATTTTAACAATGGGTATTCATTACTTTGTAATTAAAAATAATTATTGAAGGAAAGATATCTGCTTTGGTGGAACAGCCGCAAGGAGTAAGTAGAAACATGAGAGAGTGTCCAGGAAACAAATCGCAAGCCACAAATTCTTGTAGAAATTTATTTAGTGTGAGAAACAAAAAATAAGAACAATGGTTATACAGAGCAAATCAATAAAGTGATGTGCATTTTTTAAAAAAAACAAAGTTCCTTCTCAGACTAAGTTTCTGAGCACACAGAGGGTACCTGCCTGGGAGATTAAAATCAGGGATAACTAAGAGTTTGCTGTGATTGAGTACAAGATGCTATCTTATTTATTATATCCCACTCCTTTCTAGCAAAAAGGATAAAAAGGTGGTGAAGAGGAAAAGGATAAATATTGAAGGAATTTACTAAACAAATGTTCACCAATAAGTTTTCATTTGTTTCTTGAGAGTTAAGCTGGGAAGGCAAGTTCAACTGTGACTACAAGGGTAGTGACCTTGAGAGAATGAAAGGTCCTAAAAGGCAAAAAAATAAAGAAGAAAAAAAAGTCAAGTTTAGACATTTGATTAGCTACAGAAAAAGAGAAAAGGACACTACATTTTAGGGTGGGGAGAGCTAAATGTCAATTTGAAAGGTAGGTAAGGAACAGGGAGTTACAACGACACAGAGACTTATTAATTCTCTGGGGTGGTGGGAGGTGGGTAATATGGTTATTGACCCTATACACACAAAGGGGCCTTAGCGAAACTGCAGAGGACTAATCCTTAAACCAATCACATCTTTGCCAATCTCTGTCACCTGTGGAAGAGGAAAAAAGAAAGTTAGGGGTTTGTGAGGGTAAGAAGCCTAGAAAGCTTACTCCCTCCAGTCCTCAATAAGCACACTAGAGTGCTTTGTTATTGTTTGTTACTGATTGGTAAAGAGCAGTGGGGAGAAGCTCTAGCTTGCTCCAGTATCACTTCTCTAAGAGCTAGGGGCAAATACAGGACAAAAAGGACCAACATGCTTCTTTCTCATTCCCCTTCCCTCAACATTCTGCACAGTACTTACTGTAGTGACCCTGCAGATTTGACCCTTGAACTCCGGGCAATAGCAGGCTCCACTGAGTGGACATTTCTCTACTGGCTTTCCACGGTAAATGGGCCGATAAGATGCAGCACAGATATCAAAAGGGTTGTGCATGTCATAATTGAGCTGGTAGACATCTGTGGGGTTTTTCTCACAGGCAGACAGGATTTTGCGGGTCTAAAGATGGGAGGGAAGAAATATTTTATTGAAGAGGACTGAAAGCTACACACAAGTCAAATGATCTTATCTTCATGGGTTAGCAGTCTCTTTGATGCAGGACGCAACTGTACTAAAGAATACAGAATGTGTCCTTCGTCCAGGACACACACGAAGGGGTAACAACCCCCATTCCTCTGGTATCAAGCCTTCCCCTTCTCAATACCAAAGAGGCTCCATGGATCTGACCCATACTTCTTCGCCATGTCTGAAAGGGTTAGAACTGGCTTCCATTGCCCAAGAAGAATGCTTTTGGAGAGCACAAGTAATGGAAAATGTGGTAATAATATGTGGAAATTAGTTAGTGGTGGTAAAATGGGAGATCTGGAGCTTAAGGGCAGACATGGGGTATTTTCAGGTGCAGTCTCACACTGGCGTCATGTCTGAATAAATTATCACTGTGTTAACCCAAAAATAATTCCTAGCATGGTTTTTCAGGATGCTCTTAATATAAGCCCCAGTTAAGATCGTCAGCCAGACATGACTGTTTGAATAAATGTAGATTTTTGTACATGAATAAATGAATAAATGTAGATTGTTGGAGCAAAAGTTAATAAAAGACCTGGTCTTATTTTTGGGGAAACATGGTAGTTCAGTTTTCAGGAACAAAAGGAGGCACCCACGCCAGTAAGAAAACAGAGGGTGGCATTCTGTTGGCTCTTTCAGTTGAATGTCACTCAGTGCTTTGTTTCACAGACAAGGGCCTTGGTCTTCTACTCCCTCCTTGTGAGAGCAGATCTGGCTCCCTTATGCTACTGAAGGTCCTATCTACCTGTTGAGCCACCTCTGGCTTGGGTCCGAGTTCTAACAGGCGTCGAGCAAAGGTGGCAGCTGTCTTAAAGTTCTTGAGTTTAAAGAAGAGATTGAGGGCTGTCCGCAACACCAGAATCATGTGCACAGGCTGCAGGTTTGAGTGGGTGAAGTAGGCTGCCATCTGGTGGACAGAAAGAGGAACACATGCCAGGCAGATGCCACGGCTGAGATAGGTCATTCATAGCTGCTACACATGCATTAAAAACAAAACAAAATGAAACAACAGAAAAATAGGACTGGCTATAAAGCAGAAAACTCTTCTGCTTCCTAGTAATGCAGGGCTGATGAGATGAGGAAGAAGGGTGGAGAAATACATTCTCTTCTCAAAGAAACGGGACCAAATTTCTCTTACTCCCCAGATTGAGATCTGGGTTTGGAATTAAAGAATTCAGACGTAAAGGAGGATGAAAGGGAGGACACCTCCGTACTGCTCAGAGGTCCAGAGATCTTACCTCACAGATGCGCTTCTGCTGTTCCAGAGTCTCTTTGGGAAGCTTCTTCCTTTCTATCTCCATGGACAAACCCACAATGTACTCACGGCAAATGGTGATGAGCTGCTGGGCCTGGGCAGAGAGGCAAAGGAAGGTCATGATACACATGAAAAAAAGTGGGGGTGCTCATGACTAGGACAAGCGGCTAGACCTCTCCTCTAACCTCTGCAATCTCCTGTTTATTGTCCACAACAAGGAGTGGTACACTGAGTAAAATGGAACGGAATTTTTCCACAGCCTCCTCAAACTTGCCAACTGTGGTGAGCTGGTAGCACAGCTGCAACCGTTGGATGAGGTCATTAAGCTTCAGGCCCACAGCTGGTACACTATTCTTCAGCCCTGCATCCTTCCTAGAAAGGGAGAAGTTGGAAGAAGACAGGATAATCAGGAGCCCACTAGGACTCAACTTTTTTTTCTGGCAACATGATCACAATCACCCTATTATCAAAGTAGCTAGGGAATAGGTTGCAGAAAGTGTAAATCAAACCTCACAGAGTATCAAGCCAAAGACCTTTTTCTACTAGGAAACGTCAGCTCTGGGACAATTGTGACTGTCCCTGAGGCTACAACATGAAATATCTACCCCAAGTTGAAACAGATAGAAGCCAGGAGCAAAGGGCCTTACCAATTGCGATTAGGGTAGCCATACATGGAGGGTAGGCAGGGCAGAGCCTGATAGGTGGTACGACCTCGGGCGTAGGTCTGTAGGAACAACTGCTTGTAGGGACTAAACTGGGTTACCCCCACTTGGTCGTGAAGAAGCTGGAATACAGGAGAAAAAGAGACATAGGGGCGGCCGGGTGGCTCAGTTGGTTAGAGTGCGTGCTCTGAGCAACAGGGTTGCTGGTTCAATTCCCACATTGGTCAGTGAGCTGTGCCCTCCGCAACTAGATTGAAGACAACGATGAGCTGAGCTGCCAGTGGGCAGACAGATGGCTCTGTTGGTTGGAGCGCGTGCTCTTAACAACAAGGTTGCCAGTTCGACTCCTGCATGGGATGGTGGGCTGCGGCCTCCGCAACTAGAGTGAAAACGGCAACTGGACTTGGAACTGAGCTGCGCCCTCCACAACTAAGATTGAAAGGACAACAACTTGACTTGGAGCTGATGGATCCAGGAAAAACACTGTTCCCCAATAAAGTTAAAAAAAAAGAGAGAGAGACATAGGATTTTGGTCCTCCCACTTAAAAACTTGTTGATCTTGGGCAAGGTACTTAACTTCTCTGTACTTGTTTCCTCATCAGTAAATTATACTTAATTATAGAATCTACTTCATTTACTAATACCTATAAAGCACTTAGGATAGTGCCTGGCACATAGTCAACAGTGAATAAACGTTAGTCGTTGTCGTTGCAGTTGTTATTACTGCCATTATAACACATGGCTTAGTGTTCAAAACATACTTGTTCATGAGGGATGTTGATTTCACTGAAGTGAGCCAGAAATCAGGCTATAAAATGAGTGGAAGATGGCTGGAAGTATTCACCTTAGGAGATTATGGAGCCAAATGGAAAGCAGGTAAGAGGGAGGCCTTATGAGGCAAGTTTCCTCAGTCAAGACTAAGGGCTTCCATGATAAATACATGCCTCTGCTCTTGTCGGTGGGAAATCTCCATTTGGTTAAGATGAGTCAACCATCTCCCTGGGACCCTGGGCCATACATGCTCAACAAAAACCAAAGTAGGGCCGGCCGAGTGGCGCGTTGGTTAAGAGCTGGCTTGGGATGCCAGCTTTAAGAAGCAGGGCCCTGGTTCGGATCCCACATGAGGGCCAGTGACACTGCGCCCTCTACAGCTAAGACGGTGAACAACAGCTCGACCTGGAGCTGGGCTGCCGTGAGTAGCCGGTGACAGCATAAGCTGCAGCCCCTGCTGCAGTGGACTGCCATATGCTACCGTGAGTGGCTGGCAACCAGTGTGAGCAGCCAAGAGCTGCTATAAGCGGCCATCCAGAAGTCAGCGACCGATCTGCCTCAGCTGGGAAGAGCGCAATGATAGTACCAACATGGGCCAGTGAAACGTCCTCCACAACTAGACTGAAGAACAAAAGGACAGCAACTTGTCTGTTCCCCTCCCCCAATTCCCCAATAAAATCTTAAAAAAAAAAAATCCAAAGTAACTTTAATACTTACCCTCATGGCGGTTTCAAAAGAGCCTGACAGGATGTGATCAACTGAAAGCTGAGAGTTATTGCACCAGATCTAACAAAAAACAGAAAACCCAAGCCAAGTGAAGTCTTGCTGTTTCTCTTCCCAAACTATTCTACGCTGTATCTATAGTAGAAAAGTATCAGTACTCCTTACACATTAATCAAGTATAGCCAGCTCAGAAACATTCATCCCCACAGGGCTGTGTTTCCCTGCTTACCTGAGTTGGGCTGGTTCCCTTGGTGGGGGGCACAAAGAACCCATCCTCAGCCCCACCAGCTGCCCCAGGAGGTATATCCTAGGAGAAAAACAAAACGTTGAGTCATTTTTAGCCATTTAAGCACTTAGTCCTGATAAATCTAAACAGAGCCCTTTACCTCATTCCCAGCCTCTATCAGGGAAGAGGGGTGGCAGAGGCAGAAGACCCTCAAAATAGGAGCAGCTTCACCAGTAACAAAATGATACTCCAAAAGTTGCTGACAAAAAAGCTTGCTGCCTTTCATAAGCTGCCACTGGCACAACCCTGATTATCTCATTCTTCTTGCTTTCAAATGGGAGACAAGCATCAGATTAGGAGGGTTTAGACCCCCTCCCTTTTGAGGACCTCAGGACAGGGGTGGAGAGAGGTGATAAGGCCACTGGCTTCCACAGGGAGAAATGGAGAGAACCTTAGAATTCCACATACCAGCTCAGGAGGGAGCTCCAGATCTTCTTCCACATCCCAGCCACCTCCTTCTTCCTGTCCCTTCCCAACAGCATCATCCCCTAAACCTTCTGCAGCCTCCACAAACCCATCTGTAAGAAAAATCCAGGCTCAAAAGACATCCTCATAGTGACAAAATCTTAGCCAAAGAGAAGCAAAGTGTTGAGACCCTTTTGGTCCCATGGCTTGGTACCCTACAAAACTGCCCACAGCCCAGTCCCAACCCAGGGGGCCCATCTGCCCAGACCAATCCTAGTCCAGCATCCTAACCTTCATCCAGCTGCAGCTCTGCATCCTCTCCCCAGCCCTCAGTACCAACAGTGTCAATGTCAATGTCAGCAGCCAGTGCTCCTCCCTTCCCTATAGAAGGAAGGGACAAAAAGGGGTTGGTTATATAGCCCGGCAAGTCTGAGATATGACCTCGCAGGCAAGTTGCACTCTTTCAAAAGCAGGTGCCAAGGTTCTGTCCACTTATTGTTTATTATTTATTTTTGTAATATATATGTGATGCTAACTTTCAGTAGGTTTCACAGAGAGAGTGAATAGAAAAGAGATGGAAACAACTGGCCTTCCTGCTACCAAAAACTGCCTCTTAAACCATTTTTTACTCATCAGCCTTTGGCTAGGAACTCTTAGAATTTCTTGCTGAGATCTTGGCTATGTTATCACCACTACAGTGTGTACAGGGCATGAGGACACAGCGTAGGTAACAGCAGTGGAGGAAGGAGCAGAGCTGGGCACAAAATGCCTAAGGGTCTATTTAGGCTCTAAGTCAAAAGAAATGACTTAGTAGACATATCCAAGAAGACAGCAGGAGGATAAAGGTGGGTATGGTGGCACATATCTGCAGGTATCCACAGAATCTGAGGTAGATGAATTTGTACCTTTAACATTGTATGTCATGAGTGATAAAATATTGAATGGATAGGATAACTAAATACATGGTGTGATCAAAAACTACAGTGAATGCTGCTGCCAAGTGCCATCCAATGAAAAGGCAGGGATCTACAATAAGGAGAGCGGGACGTCGAACCTTAATAACAGTGTATGACAAATTTCAACTCGTTCGATGCAGTCAGTCGGGTGTGAGCTACAGTTGAGAGAAGGTGTGTTTTAAAGTGTGCCATAAATCATGGATCACGAACAACACATTAACATGAAATGGGCAAACGGTTTCATCGTCCAGCACGACAATGCTCCATGTCACACATCGCCTCTGGTACAGAAATTTCTGTAAAATAAAAACATCACTGCACCTCGAGGGGTTAAAAAGTATAACTGTTGCACTGTGTTGTACAGCTGAAACTAATTCTAAAAAATGTGTATTCACAATAAAAAATAATTTAAAAAACATCACTGAGCCAGGCTGGCCGAGCAGCTTGGTTGGTTAACAGCTCGCTCAAGAGTGCGAGCTCTGAGCAACAGGGTTGCCGGTTTGACTCCGGGTGTGAGCTGAGCTGCCGCTGAGCTGCCTGCTAACAGGTGGCAGGATGGCTCAGCTAAAAAAACAAAAAACAAACATCACTGTGTGTCCTCATCCACCTTATTCACCGGATCTGGCACTGTGCAACGTCTGGCTCTTCCCCAAAGTCAAAATGATTCAGAACATCAAGGCAGCCATGACAGTGCAACTAAAGACACTCACAAAAGAAGACTTCCAGGACTGCTTCAGAAAGTGGCAACAATGATGAGATAAGTGTGTGTGAAGCAAGGAAGAGTATTTTGAGGGGAATTAATGGTAATGTCTTTTACTGTAATACATTTATTTTAATTTAAACATTCACCGTATTTTTTGTTCATACCTCATATATGATAAAACCTAAGGAAATACACCAAAATGTTAGAGGCATGGACTAAGAGACATCTCTCTTTTTTCCCACCAGTTTTCCAAATGTTAAGGATCTCATAATGCTTTTATTTAGATTTTAAAAGACTGCATCATAACTTTGGCATCTGAGTGCTCCATGAGGCTTCTTCATACAGAAAAAAGGACAGATGACAAGGTCAGAAGAGCCAGTGGTACTCTCTGGGGCAGCTCTTCACAAAACAAACAACAGAAATGCTATGGGAGAAGTGGGCACCTTACCCTTGCTGGCAATGGAGCCTTCAAAGAACCCTTTGGATACAGTCAATAAGGGCCAATTGGTATCCAATGGCATGATAGGTGCAGGTGGCTGGAGCAGCTTGGCGTTAGGGTCAATGTCTGGGATCTGAAAGGTAGAAGAAAGTTAAAAGAAAACAGCTCTCAGGAATCACGTAGGTGGGAGTGACATTTGCAGGCTTTAACTGTCCCTAGATCTCAGAGTTAATCCTATAATCAGAGACACTCATGTAAGTAAAGACTCACTGTCTCCTTCTCTGGGTCAAATGTCTCCTTCAGGCTCTCAGCTTCTTCATCTAAGCCATGGGTAGCTGCTGTGAGATAGGCCAGTGACTCTGTAGAGAAAACAGACTTTGTGGTATAGTACATTTCCAAGTGAATACTGCTGTGGTAGGCAGGCTCCAAGATGTCCCCTCAGTGATCCCTGCCTCCAGGTATTCAAGTCCTTGCATAATCTCCTCTCCTTAAGTGTGGGCTGGACTTGTTGACTCACTTCTAATGAACAGAACAGGGCAGAAATGAGATGTCATATTCTGAGATTAGCATACAAAGTTCGTAGCTGCCACCTTGGGTACCCTCTCTTGCTCTAAGGGAAACCAGCTGTCATGTCGTGAACTGCACAATGGAAAAGGCTACATGGCAGAAATTGGTCATCTCCCCGCCAACAGCAGCGAGGACCTGAGGACTTCCCACAGACATATAATGAGCACGGAAGCAGATCCTGCCCCAGTTGAGCCTTGAGATGTCTGCAGCATTGGTCAACACTTCGATTACAGCCTCTTGAGAGACACTGTGCCAGAGGCACCCAGGTAAGCCATGCTGCAAACTGAGATAGTCAATGTTTGTTGTTTTAAACTAAGTTTTGGGGCAATTTGTTACACAGCAATAGATAACTAATACAGTTGCTTATCCTTGAGATCTATCATCAGTGTTGGTGAGAACCTTGAAATCAACCTTGACTACTCTTTCTCACATCCCACATCCAGTCTTTCAATAAATCATGTTGATTCTACCCTTATATACTGAATTGGACCATTGCTCGCTCCTTCACTGCTAGCACTTTGGTCCAAACACGTCTTTTACCTTTCTTGCTCCCTAATGTATCTCAAATGCCAGTATAATGTTTGGTATATAGTGGCTTCTCAAAAAATATCTCTTGAATATATAAACACATAAACAAACAAACATACAAACAAATAAATAAATAAATAAGTGAAACCTCCAGGACCCTTTAAAACCTCTTGTCTCCTCCATGACTATTAACTATTTTCACAAGAGCACTTGGCCAGACTGAATATCCTGGCTGTACCTTTGTTTGGCTTTAAAGAAAGTCTTCTGAGCATGGTAGGAATATATTTTCTCTTCTGAAAAAATGCACAATGAAGGCAAATCCCTCGCCACTATACATGAATAACTCACCATGAAGAGAAGATACTTCTAAGGCCCCAGGCAGCTGGTGAGTCTGGGTACTTACTCTGCCCACAGTTCTTTAGGATCCGCACCCGTTCTGACACATCGCCCAGGTACAGGGCATTTTGATAATGGCCACTCATGTCCTTTCGGATCTCAGCTACACCAAGTCAATAAAAGACATCAAGTTAGGTCTTCTCTCTTAAGTTTTCTCTCTCTTCTATTTGCCCTCCTCCTTCCCATCCTTAGTTTCTGGGGCCTCACCAATCTTCATCATCTTGCGAAGTTTCTCTAAGTTGCCAGTGATAAGGTACAGAAAGGAAAGCTTGTCAAAGTTTTTGGTGCGCTGATAACACATTTCCACAATCTGGTGGTTCCCCTGTAGTAAAGCCACTTCTCCCAGCTTTTCCCAGCAGTTCTTGTCATCCAGTGCTTTGGCAGCTTCCAGAGCAATCTAAAGAATCCCCCGAGTCAGAGTTAACAAGTTGGAGGATACTGGCTTCAAACCAGGGACCACAGTCAAAGTACTTGCCTCTAAATAAATCTCCCAAGGAACTCTGTATACTTGCAATCATACCTTTCAAACTAATTGTACTGAAAATCCTATCAACAAACAGGATCCCTTTGGATCCATGGACAGAAGAATCACATCACATTATCCTCAGAAATTTATTTTTACAACAAAATTATCTCAAAGTAGCTGCTGATTCCATGGGCCAATTCTTTCTTAGCTACCTTATTTCCTACTTGCTAAGTTTGAAGATCCATAGGGACTTTGGGAAAGGCAGAAGAAATAACAAAAGAATGAAGTTCAGAACTAGAAAGTCAATGTTCCTAAGCCCTCTCCCTATTTAAAATAATGCCCGTGGACTCTAGGCCCCAACATTTAATAAGTACTTCACCTAAGCAGCCAGTCAGCAAGTAAAATCTCAAGGAAGTAAGGAGATTTTTCAAATTCCATGTTATCTTGCTCCTATTCTAGAAATCACTCGATTCAGACTAAGCACGACAACAGTACAAATGCTGTGGCAGAAGCAGACAGGAAAAAGTAGAGATGGGCAAACAGCAACAGAAAGATGGCTCTACCTGACAACTAAAAAGTCCCAAATTCTACTATACTAGCTAAGAAAGCAAGCCCAGAATAATAATGCATTCTCAATGCCACCCTGACCCTCTTACCTTCTCTACAATGATATGGGGCTTGTAAACACATTTCTCTCACCTCAATGTTTCCACACTCCAGTGCAAGACTAAAGCGAGTTTTCTCATCCTTGACAAAATGCAGTGCCACTTCAGGATAGCCCTTCTNTACTGGAAGGAGCATTAGCAAGACTCAAATCTATTCTGAGAAGGTTTTGTCAGCACGTACTAATAGTAAGGACATCAACAAGAGATGGTGTTGATGGAAGATGTAGGCAGGGGTCTCAGCTGGATCCTGGGATCCCTGGTGGAATGTTGGGCTGTTAACAGCTTCATCTTTTTGACATGCAAAAGGAAGCAAATGGGAACTGGATGTGGATGGGAGAGCATAAATCCCTAGCCCCAGGATGAGACATTGCAAGATTGGAACCACATTTTTAAATAAATGAAATTACCAGGGTGAAAGTCATATCAGCAGACAATAAACTAGGATAACATGCTGAGATGAAAGAGTAAATGAAGAATCTCTAATAACCAAATTATAAAATATATATATATATATCTAGCTGGAGTAATAAAATGGAAGAGGAACATGAATATTTCACACCATAGTCGCCTCTGATGCAATTGTCAGCAGCGCCTGCCACAGACCTGAGTGATGTGGCCACAGCCTGGGGATGGAATGTGAAAAATTCAAAGAGGAGTGATAATGCAGGGGAGGAGAGCTGGAAACAGAGTTGGATGGACAAAGAGAACACGTACCATCAGGATTCTGGGAGTCAGCATCCTTGGGGATAGTATACAAGTCATAGGTACTATTCTCTAAATTGCTGGCTCTCTGTAGAAGGGAGAAATTAAACTGTTAGTGAGAGGCATCCAAGATACCAGTTTATTCTGACAGAGCAAACAGTACAGTTACACAGGCAACAACATGAAACTAGACTTTTCTCGCCCTTCACCCAGATGGCATCTGAATGTGTCCACAGCTAAAACTTATAGGGCTTGTTGCCAAACAACTCAGCATTCCTGTCTCTTTATGTTTTTATCCTCCAAAGATGCAGATACTATTTGAATATAAGCAAGGATTGCTCTCTATTCCACAAATTAACAGACTAAGACCCCAATATTACAGTGCCCCACCTGAGTAAACTCATCAACTTAGAAATCAGTTTGAAGAAAGGAAAAAAAAAAGACATCAAAGAAAAGACATTTAAGAAAATCGTCAGGAAGAAAATATGGGACTGTTAGGTATTGAAAAAGGACTGGGATTAGACACTACAAGTCATATGGGGGAAAACAGTTTTTTCAGTCTTTTTTAACTTGGCAACCAGGACTNTGAACAAAATATGAAATAATATACTCAATATGATTTCATTGATATGACATGCAAAACCAGCAAAATTAAATCATACTTTTTAAAGACACATGCTGCGTGGTAAAATTGCAAAGAAAAGCAAGGAAGAAATTACTAGAAAGTCGGAATAATGTTATCTTTGGGTGGGGGACAAGAGGGGGTTGTGATCAATAATGACCACATGGCAAAGGGCTCCTGGGATGTCAAAACTGTTCTATTTCTTGACCTGGGTAGCAATTATATATGTTCACTATATAACTATTTGTTATTTTATATATATATGTATATGTGATTTTCTACATTTGTGCTATATTTCACAATTTTAAAAGAGTTGAAAAAAGAATATTCTGATGCCCCTAGCACACATGTGCTAGACAAAGCTTTTCCATGAAGAAAGTTCAAGGAGGACTTCAGTTACATCTCTTGAGACAGGACAGTGATTTCAAGAAGCCACCTTCTCCCATTACGTATCTCAGATAATTAACTTACCCAGTGGTGACAGCATATTTGATGTGGTTGCTTGTGGTATAGATAAATACCCCACTCTCATCCCAGGCCCCACTCTTGACACGAATGTTCTCATGAATGTTACATAGAGCCTCCAGTTTGCGGTTACAGATCACAATGGCTGTAAGAGGCAAAGGGCATGAGTGCTCTGCTGGACAGGGTGAGTGAAGTAGACTGGCAGGGATGGGGAGGGAGGGACTGGTCTCCAAATCAGGGTGGATACAATGAAGACTTACCATGTTTGGCCAGTAGTGCTACATGGGACATGTCTGCTGACCAGATGACATATTTCACTTTGGAAATCTTCACAGATGCCAGAGTTCTGGGACAGAGAGAGAAGGGCAAACATGAGTAGACTTGATTCCCTTGTCCCACCTACCTCCTTCTCAACTCTAAATTAATGTAAACTCCAATTTCTTAAAATATCAAATAAACATTCTCTGTAGCACAGTGACAAACATTTGGTCACACTGTACGCTTCCCCCTTCCTCAACTTCCTGGCCTTATTACCAAGTATTATTAGGGATTTGTGTATGTCTATTTTCACAACTGGACTATAGCTCCTATAAGTACAGAAACTGTTATTTTTCATTCCTGTGTCCCTATCATTCTGTCCCAAGAGCATTCGTTGTTTAGGAAAGTGATCTAAAAACAAATAAG